GGACTAAAGCCAAACTGCTATTCATATCGTTTTTGATATCATGGAAAAAGTCTTTTGTTACTAACTTCAATTTAAAAAAAAAAAAAGAAAAAAAATTACAAATCCCAAATAAATTTAATACCTTTCATCTTGAGGAAAATGGACCTAGAATCGATGCTCTCCATCACTTTTGACATTTTAAAGAACCACTTGACTGATGCCTGACAACCCCTTCTGACAGCTGCTTTTTTTTTTTTTTTCATCTCTATGATAATATTCTGAGATGTGTTGCAGCCAAAACAAAACTCGTGTTCAGTTATTAAGGTTTTGCTCAATAAATTGGTTAGTGTTGTCTGTTGGGCCATACTCCTTTATTCAGATAGATATCGACAGGTGCTTTAGTCTAGTTGCTTAAAAACGTTTTCCTTCAAATGGGAGTAAAGGAAAAAAGAAAAAAATAATAGCTGAGTAAATGGTACATGATAGAAAAAACCTGGAGTTTTTATATAATTGCGATAAAATTTATTGGATGCGGAAAATGATTATTGCTTTTTTTTAAATTTAGTTTGGCGATAATGGCCTGTAATAAATCATCGCATTCAATATGAAGGCAATCGTCTGCCTTTCATGACATCCTGTTAAAGAAATAAAGGATGGTAAAATGAATTGTCATTTGACAGCCGAAAGAAGAGTCGGTGCTAAGGTAACGAGCAAACAGAGACGAAAAAGTTAAGGGAAATTAAGGAAAAATGACAGGAAGACAGAGGATTAAAAGGGAAATAAAAATCGAATCGAAATTTGCCAGACTCGCACGCTGAATAATACTGGCGGGGAATTCGGCGAAAATTAATATGGTATTCGGATCTTAATTTTTGTAATCCTTTAACCTTAATGAGTGACTAGCATCTAATTTCTCGTTACAATATCGACCCCGAATAACTAATCAGGGTCATGAGAAGAAAAGAATTGATCAACAAGCAGCAAAGCTCTTGATTGTTGAACAAATTGTCCCTGTCAGCACCTTAGGTAATGTATAGAGTAGTATGGACCACTGACAAAACTATTGAAATAACCTCAGACATCATCCCATCGACTTACGATTTTCAAACTGAAATGAATAGCGATTTCTTTTGAGCAATTTACAAAATTTAAAAGAATTCTATTGCAGGAAAGACTAATCTTTCAATTACCGTACGTGAGAAAGTGTAAGGGTTTCGGGGTTATCAGAGGATCGTTCTTGAAAAATCGCTTTCATACTCAAAACAACAGTTTTTGGTACATTTTTTCGCAACGGACGGTCTTTCATCGCTCAATTTTTCCCTGTACTTTGGTTACAAATTGAAGATATTCTATAACCTACAAGAGTGTTTGCGTAAAAATTACATTTTGAAAATGAGAAGGGCAAGTTTTTTAGAAATCCCGTAACGAGGTTGCCTTTAAATTGTCCTTGTATCCGACTATGTATAAGGAATGATTTCGTCGAACTCAGCCCAACGGGCGACGAGGAAAGCCTAAAATAATTTACATTGACAATTACCGATATAAGGAAAGATTCATCGATGATAGAAATATCACTTAACTAGCAATCACCGCTACTGAGATTTTACGTAATAGCACCTTGGCGAACTATTTAAGACAATTTTATGAGTTCCAGAGAACAACTTCAGCGCCACACAGCAAGAACTTAACTTCCCACACCGCCACAGCACTCCAATTTAAAAATGACGGTGATTTCGTGCTGATCTTGTTTCACTCTGTTGGCAGTTCAATCCCTTTAAATTGACATGTGTTTTTTGTTGTTCACGACACGTGAAAACGTTTTTTACCTTCTTTCGACATTTTGGGGCCACTCGCCGTTCTTGTTTTGTTGTTGTTGTTGTTGTTGTTGTTTTTTCGGGCCTTCAAGACCTGTAAGCCCTATTTGATGTTCCCGTTTGATAATCTGCCACGCATTTAAATGTTTGTTTTTACTGGCATTGGCAAACCAAGAACATTTCGATCGTGTCTCTGAAAAAATTCGTGATCAGTTAGACGAGGCATTAAGCAGGGTTAAGTGCATTTTACTATGTTAGGCATTTAGCTCTGGTAAATTTGCATTTTATCGTCAATTGTTTTTTATTACTGTTTATACAGGTCAGTTACTCTAATAGCTGAATGGCTGTTTACTTTCTTCTTTCTAATGATTCTCACCGGCATGTTGGCTCCTCTGTAATACGAAACAAATATCTTTTCTAGGAAAGCAAAGTTTAAAGACGTCCGATTTCAAATTATTCCTCAAAGAAAACTAAGATCTCATTGAGACCAGTTGCAGTGAGTTTTCCTTTGGATAATTGCGAGTGATGAAAAATTATTCAGAGAAACAAAACCGAATTACCAGCCCCTGACCTCCCTAAGATAACAACAGCTTGAGGCAAAAGTAGTTGGCAGGATAAAAAGAAATATCCCTAAGTTACTTGAGAGTGCCCCATTTTCCCCCAAACGTTGTTTCATGAATTGAGAAACCATATTTTAACACCAGGCAGCATTGATTGAGGGAAAGGGGGAGAAATAGGAACGTTATAGAAAAAAATATCAGTAGTAGAGGTAGTCGGTAAGGATTTCATTTTCTCTTATCACAGTTGAGTTCCCATGACTTTGCCTTTCATTGTAGTTCTATTATTTTTCCGAAATAACAGAGGATCCGAAGAAAAAGGAAATAGATTATGGAACTTTGTTACTGTTTATGCACCGCACGCATTATGGCCTGTAGTGGGCAATATTTTGTTTTTGTCTTTTGTTCTTAAATTTTACCAAGACCAGTGGTTAATTGACCCTCCTGTAAT